CAATCAAAATGAAAGAAAAGATCAACGACTTCTTTTTTTTGCACTAAGACAGGCACGAATTGATTAACTTTTTAAAAAATTAACGAGGCATCATTTTTTACTATGCTATCTTTTTTTTAGCCACAGATGCCTTTTCCCAACCAACACTTCAGCTATTCATCTTTGTAAGCGTTCGAATTTCAAATTTGAGATAAAAATATAGGAAAGGCGATAATTTTACAAGAGTTAAGCATAATTTAATAAAATAATTGAGGTGTTGCTTCATTGTCAATTTTTAATAAGTGTTTTGGCAGCGATGATCACAAGGAGAAAAAAAATTTATTGAAATTATTTTCGCATTATAAAAATGCTATTCTTAGGAGTATTGCTTTTTTTTGGCCTAACAATCTTTATAGAGAGATTTTTTTTTGCTTATTGTTCATCCCAAATTATTATTATATCATCTTCTAAAGTTAACTATTTAAGTTTACGGGCGATATTATAAGTTTTCAATAAAAAAAAAAATTAATAATAAATAAAAATAAAATAGGATTTTTAGAATATAAGCCTCATATGCTTCATTAGAATTGAATTTAGAGTTTGTTTACTTATGGAATAATAATTTTTGCTTCAAGGCATTTTGAGTCTAAAAGCACGTTTAGTTCCACTTGAGCAATTTAAGGTAAAATTTTTTTTCCTTTTTATTGTATTATCATAATATCAAATAGAAAAAATTTCAAGCATTAAAAGGCAATTAATCGGTTTTGTCGATATTTAATTACTTTTGTATAAATCCTGCTGTGAAGTTTTAATTAATTTATTATTTCAAAAATAGTTTTTCATCATCATAAGGTATGTTGATTTAAAGGTGTTGAGATTTTTGGTAATATTATACTGTAGTCGCAGAATACCATAATGTTCCTCATTTCTAAAGAATGTTTATAGTTTGATTGGTAAGTGGATTCAAGTGGTAACTCGGTGCATAAGTCTAATTAGTCGCGAATAAGTGACGTCATTCAAATCAATAACACATTTCCATACAATTATATCTTTGTAAAGAAGTATTTGGCAAAACAAATTTATTTTATAGAGGTATTTACAACAACAAAATTTTTATTATTTAATAATTAATTAAATTTTTTGCTGACCGCAGCTGACCATTCTAATTAACTACTGTTCAAAATACTCACTATAAAGAAACGAGACTTCTTTCATCATAATTAGCATTAAAAAAAGTTAAAAGAATGTTGAATAGTTATTTTAAATATTTAAGGACACTTTTGAAAAAATATGATATAGGAAATTATTATATATATATTTTTTTTAAAAACATTCCTTATTGGATATGAATAATACAATCTTAATTATGTGTTAATTTATTATTATTGTTGAAGTGTACTTAATAGATATTAAAAGACGTGTGCGAGTTTACTGAATCAGGTTTCAGCTCCCATAAATTTATTATATATAACATATAAATTAAAGTAGTATTTAAAAATTTTATACTGCTAGTGTTTTTCATAGAATTTTTTTAAAATGTATTTATAATTTTAATAGAATTTTCCAAACACAGCTAAGATTATGAAAATGGCATTACTATAAAATTTTAAATCAAGCATAAGTTGATATATAATTTCTTTATAGTTGCTATGCATAGACCTCAGTGTCCCGAGTAATACCATTTATTGATAAGTAGTGGAGTATTAGCTCAAACAAGAATTGCGGGTACAGTCTCCAGGCCAGCTCACTACTTTTTAGTGAGTTTCCGTAATTTCGAATTTAGATATTTAATTTACATCAAGCGGTATAATCCATTTAAGACTTTAATACAAATTTAGTAATAGTTATGATATCCTTTTTGGCTATTTCCAAGTTTTGGCATGTTCTTCAAAATTTTTTTTAAATCAGATGTGTCACATATTCCATAGTATCATTTTTCCTTAGACCCATTAAATTATAACATATGGGAAAATATTTAATAATAAAAGAAAGCAAATATTTTGCTGAGTTGGAAAAATTAGCACCGGAAAATGATAAACTAATCGTTCTTTCTTAACAGTTTTAAAATAGGTGCCTATTTGGCAAGTGAGCATACTTCAATAAAAACAACAAAAATTGCTGTAGTTTATAATATCTACATTTGGTAGATTATGACACATACTTACAAAATACAAAAATCTTGCCGAAATCTAGCTCGTGTAGACGATGAGCAAAGTTGTTAAATTTTAACAATTTAAAAGTTAAAATAAATAAATCATTGTTATAAGTAGAAATACCGTGTAAAAAAATATAAATAAATACAAAAGTGTGCCATTTGATCGTTTTACCTTTAGCCTCCTCTACAGTTACGATCCTATAAAATTTTATAACAGAAATGTAACGATTAACAAAGAGTCGTTAAAATATTACATAATATAAAAAGTGGAGAAAGAGTTGTTTCAATTATAATAAAATGGAAAGAAGGATTGAAGCGGTAGAGCAGGAATGGGGGATACGAGGATTTGCCACATTAAAAATATGCCAATTAATATCTCCTATGTAACAATGATCCGCACTCAATTTCAAAGGTGCATAAACTTATGCAGTAATCAGATGCAAATCCATTTGAAATCTTAGTATAATCCAATTTTCAATTTCCAATTTTCAATATTTGCTTTAAAATATAACAGTGAAATAAAGTGCTTAAACCTTAAACCTTTATGCGTGAAGAGATAAAGATTCCACTTCCTTATTCATCTAGCTTTCTATTAGTGAGTTCAATGATTAAGTACCATAGAAGATACTGTTTACCTCTTTGTTATCTTTCCCCAACTATCGCTTCAAAAACTTATTTCACTGGAGCATTGTCAATTATTTTCGGGACCATATTAGTAAATATGCTAGTTGTTAATTCGCTGAACTATATCAATGTTTCGTAAAGCATGTACAATTTGTGGATCATTCAGTTGCGGTAGTAGTCGCGAAGTTATAGATGAAAAATTTTAAAAATAACTTTTCTCTCGAAAACTGCCAGTGCTATTTCATCATTCTGTGATAATGTCAATGCATATGCCCCATACACAAACGCAGGTACGACTTACTTAAACAGGTAAGTTTAATCTGCAGAGAGAGAGAGCTCTACATTTCAATTGCCTAATCAGTCCATAGTAGCAACTATTGGCATTGATGATTTTTCTTTTGATTTTTAGGCATATATCTTTGCTTTTGTTATGGCGGTGTCAGTATAAATTAAATCTTTAACTGATTTGAAAGTATAGTCACTTGCTATTAGATCAGCGTTTGAGCGACACTCATTTCTATTAGAAGTCGTTAGTCGTCGACATGAACGCCAAGCCCGGTTTCATAGATTCCTTTTCGTTAGCATTAAAGACAGCTCTATTATCACAATGATGTCGATATTGTCGTCATAAGCAAAGAGCTGTACACATTAATATAATATTGGTCTTATAAAGCTCAATAATAAATAAAAAATACAGCATTTTCAAAGTTTTCATTCCAATTATGCCAGCTTCCATTTATGTGTTTATAACTAAAGCATTGATGAGATGTCTGTTCTCATGTTGTTGTTGTTTTAACTTGAAAAGATCTGCTTGTGCAGTTTCTTTTATGTGTAGTGAACGGGACTTGGTCGTCGATCTCGATGAGTGACTCCGGAATAGAAACTCAGCCGTTCTTGGAATCTGTTTTCATAATTTTTTCTTAGCTGATATGGAATGAATGGTTTTATTATTTTTACTATAATAAACGATTTAAATATTCAATAAAAAACGAATACTAAAAGCTTTTTCAATAGATATTACTTACTTTAATAAGATAATAATTATTTTTTTAAATTGTTTAATTTTAAAATAAAATATAACTACTTATTTTACTTAGCTAGTATGTTATGGAGAATTTTATTTATTAATTTTTAAACAATATATATATTGCAAAGTTATAATTAATGTTAAAATAAAACAATGAATAAATGTAGGTATAAAGCCAATTAATAATTTAATTTTACTAAAATATTTGCAATTATAATAAACGATTTAAATATTCAATAAAATATGAATATTAAAAGCTTTTTCAATAGAGTAAAGATAATAGATAAATACTTATTTTTTTTAAATTGTTTAATTTTAAAATAAAAATATAACTACTTATTTTATTTAGGTAGTATGTAATGAATAATTTTATTTATTAATTTTTAAACAATATATATAATGCAAAGTTATTACTAATGTTGAAATAAGGCAATAAATAATTGTAGGTATAAAGCCAATTAATAAAATTAATAATTTAATTTTACTAAAATATTTGCAAGTATAATAAACGATTGAAAGATTCAATAAAATATAAAAAATTATAAACTTTTTCAATAGATTAAATGAAGAAGACATATATTTATTTTTTTTAGTTTTAAATCTAAAAAAACTTATAATTAATTGCATATATTTAATGTGATATATTATTGTATTTAATATAACCTGTACTGCACCTAATGAAATATACTTAATTTGTGCATGGCATGGAATATGTTAAATAATAAACTATTTTATAACAAAATCTTATTAATTTAAATAAAATATTTCTCTGCCAGAGGTACCTCAGTCAAGTATTTTATTGGTTGGAAATTTTTTTTTATTTTTCTATTCAATCTATTATTATTAGTTTGTTGGTTTATTAATTCATCGTACTGACTTTTTCTTTACTTACTTGCAGATTCTAATGAAACAACAACAACAATATCCCACACAGATACAAATAAGTCTGCAACAAGACTTGAATTATTGCTTGCATCACAGCAACAAATGCGATTGCAGCGAACAAATTCTGCATAATTATAATAAAAACAACTTTTTTACTAGAAAAGTGGAAAGTACCAACAAAATATAAGGAATAATTAAATAATTTCAACAGATACAAAAAAAACCTTTGAAATTACAATAAAGTTATTTCTTTTTTTATTAATTTTATTTTTTTAAATAAAAATCATAAAAATAATAACAAATCCAATAACAACAACATTGTGTGCTATGATGGTGATGATAACTATTCACCGACGACTGTTGACAGTGGTGGTGCTTATATTGATCCTATTAAATAATTTTGTAATTTCACAGCGAATTGTTAGTGGGAGTTTAAGTGAACAACAGCGACAACAGCAACAACAGCAACAAAAAGATCAGCAACAAAAAGAGCAGCAACAATTACCACAATTGGTGCAAGCAGCTACAACAACAGCAGCTTCGGCAGCAGACACGATAATAACAAAAAATGGTACACAATCGCTAAAAAGACAACAACAACAGCTGCAGCAACAAAATGGCCAAACAGAAAAGTATCTCATAAATAGAAATTCCACAATATCAACAGCGGAAAATGCAACAACTAATAAAATAGTCGCCTCGGCAACATCGAGCTCACAGGCGACATCTTCATCGTCATCGTCGTCATTGTCATCATCATCTTCTTCATTAACATCATCACAGACAGTGAAAAAAATTAACAGCGGTTCGCATAAAACTGGCGAAAGTAGCTATGAGCGAAATTCAGATGAAATTTTAAGTGAAGCTGAAGGTGAGTTTAGTTTAGCTTTTTATTTACTGATCAAAATTAATTAATGCATTTTTAATTTATACTTGTATTATTAATTAGTGAATAGTGTTAAAAGAAATTTGTGGAACCAGTATTCAACACAATCTTATGATTATTAACGATTTAATTACTGAATTAGTAGCTTCTTTAGATAGAAATATATAAAAGAAATTTTTATTAATTAGATTTTAGATTATAAAATTTTTTTAAAGGATAAGTACAATTATATTGGAATATAGGTTGTAAAAAACATTTTTGAAGTAGCTTCAGCAATAAGTGCACCAGTTAACCAAACGGCTTTGACCGACAATTAAAGATAATTCAGTCCAATAAGTAGAAATGCATTCATCTAATTTGACTAAGCGTGATTTCTAACCATCTTTAATGTGATGGAAACTTGTTTCGTTACTCCGGTTATTCAAACACATTTGACCTATAATTAAAGGCAATTCCTTCCAACAGTATAAACTTTTTTTTATCTAATTTGGTTCAGTGTTACTTAAGGCTATTCCAAAATTGAATTGAATGACAAAAAAAATCGTCTTAATACTACCCCGGCTATTCAAACGGCTTTGACAGAGATTTAAGGACAATTTCGTTAAATTTCTTAAACTTTTTCAGCGCTATGTGATCTCAGAAGGTGTCTATTTTGAATAAAGAGGAATAAAGTATTAAAATAATGAACGTTTCATATCTTTTCGGATATTTCTTAAAGTCAATTGTACTTTAGTATTTTTAAAAAATAGTTTAAACCGATATTTTCTAGTTTTATGAAAAATTCGATCGTTTTCAGAAATTATCGGTAGAAGCAATCAGTATAAAAACATCGATAGTAGCAAACTACATAAAATTAAAGGTATTTTGTGAGTATATATCTAGTCCATGTGCGAGTTCCAGTAAATTGATGTTAAATTGAGGGAAATAGTAAATAATGTCGAAATGGCAGCGAATGTTGGTATTTATTAGAATATCGAGTAGGATAAATTAGATAAAAATTAAGTAAATTAGGTGTTATCTATGTGAAAACATATAAATAAATATTTACATAATTGCAATGCAAAAAATCTCTAGGAAATTTTAACATACTTTACCTCAATTTACTCGAACTCGCACACTGTCCTTAGTGTTTTTAAAGACTTTATCAATAATTTTGGAGCTTTGGAGTTTTTAAAGTTGACTTTGTTTAATTTATATAATTTTCTTAAATAATAGTTTGATATTGATATTAACTAGCATTTATAATAATTTTTTGAGTATATTTCTAAATGTATTTAAAGATTCTATCGATATTGTATAATCACTTTACACCCAATATAATGTTTTTTTCCTTAAACTTGAGTTTGTTTAATTTATTTAATTTTTCTGAAATAAAAATGTAAGCACATTTTTAAGATATAATCTTGAATTCTGTTATAACCTTTACGAGGAGTATGTCTAACCAATTTACTATTCTCTGGTCAAATGGTCAATAAATAGCATAACCAAACTCATGTTAATCATTTAAACAGACTTAAAAATATTTTTAATCTTACACACAACTAAAGTTAATAAAAAAGGTTGCCAATACTTGCATTAAATAATCGTTGAAACTATCTGTCATGCGGGATACAGACAGACTCGTAAATATAGAGACTGAAGATTTACAAAGCTAACGACGCATACATTTGCTATGTAACGCAACATTAGACGCGTCACCTTGTTGTTGTACCTAATAGCATTAACGACTGTTAATATATTGTATGTTGTTGTGTTGTTGTTGTTGTTGCCGCTTGAATTGCTACTACTAATAAACATTGTTTATGGCGATCATCATTATGATGTTAATGATGTTGATGTTGTTGTTGTTGTTGTTTTTGTTGATGTGAATGTTAGCAAATATTTTTCTGAAAGAAAAACCAAAAATATGTTAAGCAATAACATAACAGTAAGGCAACAACAATTGTTGGTAGAAAAATAATTTAAAATACAATTGAAGAAGCTACAATTGCTGTCAATTATTACGTGATGCGGCTGGAGAGGAAACTAAATACAAATGTCGGAATGAGAAGTATGCAAAACAAAAACAAAAATAAAAACAAAAACAAAAAAACAGCAGTTGAAGTAATTTAAATGGCGGTTACAATTGTTGTTTTGTTGTTGTCAGTGGTGTTGGTAAATATGCTTTAATGGCTTTGCTATTAAGTTAGCAGTGAGGTAAATATGCACTTCTGATCTCTGATGATTTGTTGATATTCGAAAGCTGTGCATCGCTTTTTTTAATGTTTTTGGTATTTTAGTGGTATTTTAATTGAAATAAAAAAAATGTTTTCAGCAATTGTAGGTGTTAATGTTTAAAGAAGTATTTTATTTTTATTATAAAGTTTTAATTATATTTTATGCAATCCTTAATTAATAGTTAAATTAAACTTCAAAGATAAAACAATAAAGATCTGAGTGTGATACCCTTCACAAGGACGGAAAAGTTTTAATTTTCTATATAGGATGTAATCGGATTATCTTAATCCATGTTTTGAAAGAAACTTTTACAACGGGCTAAATCTAGGAATTTTCGGGTTATATGTAACCATAAACCAGCCCTTAAGGCTACCTATGAAGGCAACGGTCTTTAAAGCTGAAGGTTCAGCGGTTAGGAAAGTAATGCGGATAATTGGGAGTTACATCAAGGATATATGTAGTGTTAGCACATTTGTTAATAGGTAAACAGCAATTAAAGCCCTTCAATCCCCTATCATAATATTAAAACTAGTTAAAAATTTGAAAACGCAATTGACGAACTAAACCAAATAGCTGGCATCACACTAATATGGGTACCTGGATATGAAAACAACAAAAGTCAATGAAAAAGTAGACGGTTTGGACCACATTGATGCATCTGTAGATGAGTCTTTGTTAATACCGGTTATGTTTCTCAGGAAATATAACAATATAACAAGACTAGATTTTAAGAACTTATTAAAATTGACCACGTTAGAATACTGCAAAGCTTATTGTAGTTCTTTTTGGTGTGTAGGAACTCAAGCCGAGAAACTACTCTTTAAACTGCCTTTAATACTTACTGCAGAAATTGTGGAAGCTTCCAGAAAAAAATCACTTTTAAGCAGTTTCTTTGTGAATGCACATCAAACCACAAGAATGGTTTGATGTAGAAGAAGCATACTTGTGAATGGTGAATATAAAAGATTATCAAGTCAAGGGCTTTAACTATATATACAACCCTATAGTTTTGTCAGTTATGGTCCTGCATGGACCCAGATTGGATCTGCATTATTGAATCTCTTATAGTACATGTCAACATGCGCTCTAGGAGGGGTCAACGGAACACTTATTGCCTCAAAGTTCTAGCTTATTTAAAACCAGAGTTTTTTGTGAGCTCTATATTTTAGCTCACTCAACATTAATTCTTTACTGGAATTAAGTAAATACTTGCATTTATCAATACGTCCAGTTGGTTCAAATTTACTCAATTTTCCGCTTATAATTACGAAGAATATGAAATCAAAAAATCTTTTCTAATTAATTGAAGAAGATGTGATGCTCCTTGCACTTTATCTACGATTTAAATCTCTATTCCATTCTGGGATATATGATGTAGATTTAAATCTATTTATTATATCTCTATTATATTATAGGTTATATAATGAAGTTTTAAATTTATATTTCTATTATATCTCTATTAAATTGTAAGCTATATAATAGGGACTTAAATGGCACGCAGATTTGGGAAGCTCTTACATTTAAAGGGATTCCGTTAATGGTATATAACCAAAAAGTATTTCACGTTGTTTCACGTATTATATCATAAACATTGTCATAAATTACATGACTTAGGTTATCCTCTTCCATCCTTAACTATTTATATATCAATTTTCTTCATATTTCTTGATTATGTATAGCAATTCGTGCAAAAGTCATAATTATATGATAATAGTAGGAGTGTATCTTAATAAACTATTGTACATTAGTGTTTTGAATTAATTAAATCACAAATTACCGAACCTCGGAAATGAAAGAAAGCGAATAAATTTATTATTTATAATTGATTTTAGTATCAAAAAAGCTCACCAAACCTTTTTATGCATGAAATTCAAAAACGTTTAGTCAATATGTAAATCGTTTCCTATGAGTATAAATCGAATATAAATCACTGAACAGCTGAGAGTTTGGCTACCACCCGCAGTTGTTTAATCACAATTAAGGCCTTTTGATAAATTTTAATAACAAAACCGCATTTAAATGAAATTAAAAAGATACGCAGCGCTAAAAAGTGTGTTTAATTTGACTATAAATTCGTTTTGCATGCAAGTTTTCGATACAACTTCAACTTGAGATATCTCGATATATGTATGTTTGTACAGACTCAGCTCAGAGTATTAACCATGGAGGCATACACCAAAACGCACTTGGCACTCCATGTCATCTCAAGCATTCAAATTCAAATGTACTCGCATCGCATAACGCGTATGGAGGCCCGCCGTTGTTGTTTATTAACAAACTGATAGATAGACAGATATAGACAGATAAGCAGATAGACGGGTAGTCAGACAGATATTCACATATTTGGTTTTATTATTACGCAATATTAACGCATTTATTACGTTTAACTGCTTCAGTTTGTTTAAATAAAGAAAAAATTTATTAAAAATATTATTTAATTTTTTTTTAAATTTTTCGAAGTGTGATTTTTTTATGTTGGCTGTAAAGTGGCTTATAGTTGGTCACTTTCAGTTTTATGTTTATTTCATGTTTATTATTTTTATTATTTTGTGAATTTTGAAGACGTTTAAGCTGTTTTCAGATTTAAATAATAAAAAAAATTTAAATTTAATCATGTTTACATAGCCACCGCAGAAATAATTCCAATTATGAATCGGTTTTTATGAAGCACTCGTATTTAAGACTTATATATTTTTTTTTTTCAAGTATACAGTTTCATTGAGTTTCTTAAGAATTTTATTTAGGGAAATCCGCTCTTCAACCTGGGTAAGAAAATCCCTTCAGATACTGTGATTTGTTTCGTTTTTTATTTGATGTTTTTATTTCTCAAGCATAATTTAAGATACGATAAAAGTTTTTACTGAACTGACATTTTAGTGGTGATTAAATTTTATGTATTATATAAAAGGCCTTTATCGTTGAATTCCACCAAATACTCGTACATGATGACCACAATTGTTGTGATTAATGATTTTGAACTTTTGAAATAAAATGAGAACGTGTCGGTAAGATCTGCAAAAAATACAGCGTCGAGTAAGTATGCAATCGGCTGCAGTGAAGGGAAACATTTAAATGCATAGTTAAATGCAAAAATAATTATGTTTATTGCAAGGACATAAAAGATATATCACCTCAAATTACTTGAAAGGTTGTTGTTAAGTAAAACTTATGAAATTCTAATAAGTAGGGTAACAGTTTTTACGAATTGCAAAATAGACTTATTTTTAGTTTTAAATGTGTTTTGAAAATTACAAAGATCAGTGTAAAATAATTAACATGTGTCTATTTAGAATTCTTAATAAATTATTTTAATATATATGTATATTAAGAAGGAATCTACATTTTCATTGTACATCACCTACGTAATAGCGTCGAGTAGCCTACGCCAGCCAGCTCGATCAGTTGCTTGCTGTCGCGAGTTGGTAGTACCGAGCGCCCCCAGATTGTTGGCATCCGAAGATGCGGATGAACAAGAAAATGCCGCACTGGCGGCGCAGATGTTCAAGTCAATGATTTCAATATCATCGGCATAGGCAAACAACATTATACTTATGTAGAATATTATGCCAGTGTGGTTTAAATCTGTTGCGTAAATTATCGTTTCCAAGATCAGGTTAAAGTCACCCTTTCTGAAACCTCGTTTAGTATCAAACGGCTCAGAGAGGTTCTTCCCGATTCTAACGAAGCTGGTGGTATTACTTAACGTCATTTTACATAGCCGTATAAGTATTGTTGGAATACCAAATTCACACATAGCGGCATATAGAGTGCTTCTAGTCGTATTAAAAGCATCTTTGAAGTCGAGAAATGGATGGTGTGTGCCGAAATGTTTTTCTTCGGTTTTTTCTAGGATTTAACGCACTGTGAATATGTGGTTTAGGGTGCATTTAGCAGGTCTGAAGCCACACTGATAAGATTCAATAAGTTGATTGACGATTAGCTTTAATATTTCATATAGTACGTTTGACAGAACCGTATAAGCGATATTTGAAAGCCTGATCTATTACACACGTAATATAGTAGAAGACAGCTTTAATTATAATTATGATTCTAAATAATAATTTAGTTCCAAATATAATAGATTTAGATTATCATTTGTTATTTTCAGGTTTAGTTAATCTTATTTAACAACAATTTAAGATAGATTTCACATGGTGGGAATTTATTGTCCAAATAATCTTTGTTAAGTGTGGAATCTGAAAAGCTAATTGGTTAACCAATCGCTTGTGGTACTACGAGTCAAGCTTCAAAAGCAATTCTTTGTTTTATAGATTTTTATTTCTATGTTTTCAAATATTAGTATAAAGCTGTTTCGACATTATACTTTTCTCTTTCATTTAATTATAAGTTTGTGGCTTTGTAAGTAAACAAATTATAATTTTTTGTGCAGAAAATAATATTTACGACTAAGGAAGCAAGCATTTTTATTTCGTATTTTTAATATCATTTTTAATATCAAACGTTCATCACTTTTTATATAACTTCTTCCTCATTAGACTTTATTTCATTTTTGATGCTGTTAGCTGGATTTTTAAACTTTATTTCTTTTAATATTTGTGTATGAGCTAAGTTAAGTATTTTGTACATGCGTGAGTGAAGCGGACGGGTTTTAATTTGTTACTGGTATTGGATAGTGCAATCGATATTTAATATTAAGTTTAATATTTTCAAAACTTAACTTAATAACTCCTTTCAATGATGTAGAAGATTGAATATGAGCGAGACATAAGAATTAATATTATTATTGTAGTCAACATTATTAATAAAAATCTTTGATATAAATAAGTTATCTAAAGAAACAATTATATACTATATAATAAGCAATATACATATGATTCATATGTCTGTAAAATATATTTTATGTGGGGATATATTAAAGTAAAAAACTATTGACGGGAGGGCTTGGTTATCTAACCGACTTAAAAGTAATTTAAAAGTCTACTGCGTTCATAATAATATTTCAACAAAATGTTTCTTTTCTCAACGAAAATTTGTCTTATATCACTGAGTTTGTAGCTATGTTAAGTCTAATTTAGTTCAATTTTCTATGCTTTGAGTTTGAGTTGAAGAGCCAAAAGGCAAACGTAATTTTATATAATAAGCCCGCCTTTAGTAAGCATATTTAAAGTTATTAAGGTGATTTAAGTTGGCATGGATTCATATAAATATTAAAAAATATTGCAACTTGTAACAGAAAGTCAGACGAAAAAGGTTTGTATCGGTAACAAAGAAAAGCCAAGTAACAACGCATTTCTGGCTCTACAATACATATTTTTATTTTGCTTTATTTTTTCATATATATTTTCAATGCAGTAATTATTTATGATGAAACACTTGTAAATTTCTTTCTTAATTTTTCAGTTCGATTTTACATTTGAAAACATTTTCTTTGCATTCAAAAGCAGCTCGTAAATATCTATTTTAAAATGGGTTATAAAAATTATCTATGCAAGTTACAATATTGTCTTTTTAAAGACAATAACATATGAGTACAACGGCTATTGTAGTATCTTTATGAATTGTTTGTAAAAATATGGTAATTACTTTAAATGAGTCTCCACTAAGAATGTAATCTTTAATAAGTGTGCATTGCAGTTCGAATCATTTCGTCTTGATGTGATGGTTGAGTTCTTTTCATTTAGTGTCGATAATTGATTTTTAATAAGGAATTTTATGTAATAGTTTCGTAATAAATCTAAAACCGTCAACGTCAAAAAAAATTTTCTTTTTGTGAGAAAAGTCAGAGTTACTCGTCCGTGTATGTAAGACTAATAGAAATAAGGTTTATTCGAAACACAAATTGTCTTCAATTAATTATTCCATTTTTCCGCTTTACTGAAAGCGCAATTCACTTAATTTATTTTAATAGTTATATGGCAAATTGACAAATACTATTAATACTTAATATGTAATTAATAAGCATTTTTAGTAATAAACTTATACAACAGTCGTAGGTACGAACGTCTCTCTAAATAATTTCCCACAATTGTTAACTACACTATTTCATAGTTCCTATATTAGTTAATAAGCTTTCAATTAGATACTAAAAAATTAAAAAAACATGAGCTTTCCATGCATTTTACCTCAATTACTAGAGATCTGTATTTAGGTGCATTGATCAAAAGGTTAGATAAAATTGTTTAAAAATTTTAAAATCATTATTTAGTCTTAAAAATCTATTTTATTGCCCTCAAAATAGTCAACTCGGTTTAACTTATATTGGAAACAACTATAACAAAGCCAATTTTCGGTAATAGCTACGAGTTGATTTTCGCGACGAGATTTGATTTCTATTTCCTTAATTGTGTTGAAATGGTACTCCCGAAGCTGTTTTTTGAGTTTAGGAAATGTTATTAATTTGCACAAATGAATGGATGAAGATGGATGGATGAGTGGATGAAGATGGATGGAGGCGGATGATTAAATATAAATAGAGGCTATAGATATAAGTCGAGGAAGTGACTCATAAAAGTTAAATTCTTTTATCGCCAATTGAGATTTCCCTTTTTACAGGCACAAAACATCTTCCAAAATGTTTTGGATTGCTTGAGAGCAAATGTTAGTAATACCTTACTGACTCTTTTTATTGTCAATCCACAATTTTTGAGTAGGAAGTCTCTGTTTTTTTTGACGTGTTATTTATTAGGTGATGTTAATGATCGTCCAGTCATTGAAATTTATGTTAAATATTATGTCAATATCTGGATTTATCCAACTATGTCGTAAAAATTGTTCACAAATAAAATATATCAGAGACAGAGCTCTAAAAATATTCACTAAAGTTGATACGCTAATTAACCCCGCCCTAACAATCCTCAAGTCCACTTCTGGACTCTCAGGAAGATATGCTGATTTAAGGTCCGTCATCAACTAAAAGACAAATAAATGATATGAATTTTTTTTAGCCTAGTTAAAGCCTAGTGTGGGGTAGAGATAAGCCCCCCAGCCATTATAGAGTAAAAGTGCGTAATAGCATTAACTCAAGAAGAAGAAGAAGAAGACAAGTAAAACAATAGTAAGAAAATTCAAAGATTGCTCCTATATTAAGGAACATAGGAATATAGGAACTATAATTTTTTTTTTGTGATATTACTTTTAGACGAGTGTAGATAATGATTGAAATTAACACAGATGGTATTAGATATGTTAATCACATTAGTACATTGCAACATTATTTCATCGTAAACTGTTTAAATACCTTTAAGTTCAATAACTTGTTTTTATTGCTAATAAAGAGCCAATTTTTAGTTTAGATTGAGTGATTAGTAGCTCGGATTTATCTCTACTATTTTTTAATATATAATATCATAATGATAAACACGGATATATTTTAAAGAGTACTTTAAACAATAATTTTATGTTATATTTTTATTAATGGTTTATTTTGAATTTTTGATATAAAATATAAAATATTATCTTTAAAAATAATAAAAAAATAAATTTAATTAAGTTAATAAAAAAATGTCACAAAACAAATTGAACCACTTCTATATAAGTGCTCTGATAAAACTGTGTTTTTTTTTGCACCCAAATAATTCCTGCATTGCGTATAACATATATTTCATATACATTTTTAATTTTTTTAAAGATTTTATTTCAGTTTCAAGTGCACTTGTATATTTAATATATATTGTATAACATAATACTTGTGAATAAAGTTCCTGATTTTTTCATAAACCGGCATTTATTTGTAGTTCCTGTTTTTTATTAATGCGTCGCTTTTTTTTGTTTTTTTTTTTTTTTGAATAAATTTTAACTCTAGATGTACTACAAGTAATGCTTGAGTCTTAAAAATGTCAAATTTATTTGTAATCCGCTTTATAATAATTTTATCTTTATCTGTGATCAACTACAAGTTATTTATTTTGACAAATAGGATTTGCAATTTTTTATGATCTTTATCTTTTTCATAATTTAACAAAAATCTTTTTTTATATAAATATAAAAAGAAAAAAAATTAATTTGCCAGAAAATCCCACATCTTTTCTGCACACTTATGTTAACCTTTTTTTACAACATCAATTAAAAAAAAATATATATAAATATTTACATATAAAATATTTTCTCTATGTCTCGTTAATGATCTTTAAAGTCATTATTTAAACTAATTTTGAGGTTCGTGTAGCTTTTGTCGCTATTGGTTTTGTCATGTTATTGCAAAAAATAATTAATTATAATTACTTGCTGATGAGGACATAGACATTTGCCAGCAGACAGATACATATATTGCCAATATAACGCTTGCTTTAACCATGGCTTTATTTGTTATTAGATATTTTCTTTACATTAATTAAGTAATTTGCAACTAAACAGAGTTTCGGTTTGTCATTTTATCGTTAATAATTTGTGATTTTTTGTTTTTGTATTTTTTTTATTTTACTTTATTTTGGAAATTATTTCCAGCTTATCTTGGCTTATTTAAAACACTCAAAACGAATCAAATTAATATGAAGCTACATTGCAGACCTTTATTTTTGTGTTGCCTGAGGTTGAAAGTAATTTTCAAGTGTTTTTATTTCAAATTATAATTATA